AATTTGTAATGTGTAACAGACTAACAGTGTAAGTAATTTACATATTTTGAGCATTACTTTTCTCGATTTCTTTGGCCTTTTCTCTTTATAAGTTATTAAAAATTCGTAAGAAGATTGAAATTTATAAGAATAATACATATAAATTATTACAACAGTGAATAGTGACAATGATAATAAGAGTATTAAAACTAAGGACAATAAGATAGTGAGGTATAACTCAATTAGTTAGAGCATCCTTCTTAGGTTCAGGAGATCCTGAAATTGATTCTCAATCTAAACACCAAAAAAAAAAAACAAGGTCAATAAAAGTTTGACAATTATATATGAGTATATTCCATGAAAAAAGTAGCCTTAATAAATATAGTGAGTTTCTCGTCAAAAAATAAATAAATATATATACAAGTTAAATTTAACCCAGTGCATCGACCTGAATAGACCCGACCCGAAGTTGACCCGAAATTTGCACCTGAAAATTGACCCGACCCGAAAATTGACCCGAACCGAACTCGACCCGACCCAAAGTGTTGACCCGATACCCGACCCGACCCGATTATTAGTCGACCCGAACTTGATCCGATACCTATTTGACCCAAACTTAACCCGACCCAAAATGACCTGACTCATACCCGACCCGATTGACCCATTTGCCAAGTCTACTATAACTACGGATAATGGGCAGCCACGTCCCTAAGGCAGGGCATTAGGGCCTAACTGCCCAAGGATCAAAGGGCCAATATAATGATATTACGTTCAATTCTAATTATTCAAGCATTATATTAATATACTTCGTAAATTACGAGATTTTCTTACTAATTTCGCATAATTTATTCCGCTAATTATTATCTCCGAATTTACTAATTCTCATATCCATTGAATTACAAGATTTTTTTTTACTAATTAGAGATGGTGGTTAAACAATATTATTCAAAACCCAAAAACATAACTACAAGCTAAATCTGTACTCTCACTACTTTGATCTTAGCCATTGGCTTTTTTTGTGATCTTTCCAAGAACTGCAACATAAGGACTCAGAGACACTAAAATCATAACAAGACAACTTACTGACACTAACACCATGGCAAACACTAAGAGAGGAATTTTTCCAAGGATGACTATGGGAGATCTATATCAGGGGGCCGGGGGCATAATACTTCCTCTTTACACCAACTCCGAGCTTGGTTGAGATGACATCCGTGACCTTCTTTTGCCTTTTGGTTTTGACAGGTTTTCCATCATGGAGTGTTTCTCACTTAACCTGATTAACCTTCTTCCTTCCATTAGAGACCACTGGTCTCCTCAATTCACAATTGTAGGGGGCCTCCGACAAGATTTTCGATTTTTTTTGTAACAAGACATTGAATGGGGTTGATAAAATTGCAATTACTTCCATTCTCTTAGAGGCTTAGATTATTGATATCTGCATTATGGGATAGCTTCAAATGCAACGATGGTCTTTTTCCAAAGATTTTAAAGTGTCACGTAAGATTTTGATTTTTGTATAAAAAAAATAGAGCATCACGTAAGATTATGATTTAAAATTACAAAAATAAAATAAAAATAAAAAACGTCATGTAGGATTAAGATTTTTAAAAAATTAACTTAAATAAAATTAATTCTAAATAAAATTCATATTTAAAAAACTATTTTTTATGGTTAATACGTAGTAATTGATATCATTATTATATTTATTAAAACTAAACGTATAAACAACAGCTTATTTTAACTAATGAGAAAATATATTTGTATTTTATTTTAGAATTAAAAAACTATAATCGCCACGTAAGTAAAATTAACGAAAGAAATTTGAGAATCTAATTTTAAATTTAAAAAACAATGATTTAAGCTTTAAATTATTTAAAACCAAAAAAAAAAAAAAAAAAAAAAAAAAAAAAAAAAAAAAAACTTTTCACACAAATGATAATCCAACATAACATTTAAAATAAATTGATTTATTTATAATAAATATTAACAGTAACTAACCCTAACGAATAAGGTCGCATCATACATTGCATTAAAATAAAATTAAAAATTAGACTTTTGAATAAACAATAGCAATTTAATTAATTGTTTTTGTCTAAAATTGTTAAATAGTAAAATGAATCATATAATTACAAAAAAAATCTTAGAGTCTAACTAATAAGAAATATACGGAATATTTTATTTTATTTTATTTTATTGAGATTTGTGTATTAAAATTCGTGTACGATACGGGCTTTCATCTAGTTTTACATATTCTAGACTCAATTTTTATATAAATTTAAACCTAATAGCTAATATTGTTTCAATTTATAGAAATCAACTTGGGTAGGTAACATATTTTTTATAACGAAAATGTGATTTAAAAAATCATATAAAGCGACATAAAAAATTATCGTATATTAGTTTATTTTGAAATGGAGATTTGAGAATGATATATTTTGTTTCAATTTCATATAATATATTAAAAATTGTAGTATTTATAATAATCGGTTTATTTACGTAAATATTTCATTCTTTTATCAACAAACTATTTTGATGAAAAGCGTCATGTCATATTATTAAAGATTACTGTTTATTCATTAAACAAAATTTAAATATTGTTAGCATTAATGTTTGAACACATAACCTCATGTTCATTAACCAACAAAGTGTTGGCTCGCTAGGTAATATTCTTGCCTTAAATCTTAGAGGTGTGGCATTCGAATCATACCAAGTGAGGGTATATGAGGTAGGGATTCTTTTACCCTCCCCTCTACTCTCAAGTGCCTAGCTGACAAGGTCCTACTTACCATTTAAAAAAAAAATGACCTCATGTTTATTATACAATCTACAATGTTTTGTTAAAAAGAATTAATCATCTTTCATCACATAATTTTATTATAAAAGCTCATTTTCAATACATATAATGACCTGGGGCATCGCCTGGGCCAAAAACTAGTTATAATTAAAAAGAAAAGCTTCCTCCATTTCGGAATCAAGTCGTTTTATCTTCTCAAATCATATTAGCTAGACTGCTAGACTTTCAACTCTAGTTTGATTATTGATTTAGGTCAAATCATACGGGCCAATTTTACCACATTTATCCCCAATTCCTAAACAAGTATTTTTGTAAAACCTATAAATAAGACTAAAATAACAAGCGCTGATATCACCCCTTCTCCAAATTGCACACATGTCAAGTTGTGGTTGAAAAGTTCCCGCCTAAATTAATTGCTGACATTATATTCTTATCCTTCTTTTAACCGTAGTTTTTTTTTTTTTTTTTTTTTGTTTTTTTAGGAACTTTAGATTATTATATTATATTATAATATTCTAATATTATATTATGTATTATGGATTCAGATTTAGTGTAAATATTGATAGAATGGAAAATTAGAAAGTATGGACTCTATGGAACAATAATGAGTAATTTGAAACATCTTATTCTATTATGTATATCATTTCTTATATATATATCAAGTTTAAATCACTTCCTTATTTGCTTAAAATTGTGTATAGTACAAGTACTAGCATTTCGTATTTGCTTAAATTTTCATATTCAATTTACTTTTCTTTTAGATAACATTTGCAATAATGGTTATGTATTCTAATTTTCATATGAGATACGTAATAACATACTTATATGAAAATATTTATTTCAATGAAATTTTTATGTTGTGCATCGCACGGGGCTAATCTAATACCAAATAAAAAATAAAAAATAAAAAGGAAAAACTAGACCTAATCAAAGCAAGTACATCCCAAGCCGAAAAAATGCTGTGTTTGGCAGAATTTTTGGGCCAGAATTTCGAGCCCAATCTAGCCTGATCCAATTACAATTTTCTTTTGGATTTTGGTTTAAAATTTTAGTTCAGCCTAATTTTTGCCTTAAAAACCCACTATATTAAACCCAAAATAGCGAGTTTGACACGATTTTCCGACCCAAAGCCTTGGCCCAAAATGGGTCAATATTTTGAATAAAGCCCGACTCGACCCGACTCGAGATCACCTCTAAAACTCCACGCATATTCTTAAATGCACCCTTTTGCATTTAAGCTAGCTGCACCACTCCACAAATACCCCTTTTTATACACCAAACACACATATATACTATGTATTACTGGAGTACTGGTATATATTACTTCCTCTCCTTCCTTCAATCTTCTTCCTATTTTATTTCTTTCCTTATTTCTTAATTTTTACATAAATTTTTCTCTTTTTTCCAAATTCTTTACTTAATTCTTAATTTTGGTTGAAATTTTTTCTCTCCACCGTGTTTGATATTATCTTCTTCTTTTAAGATTTTCTCTCTCCTCCATTTTTTGTTTTTTTCGTTGATTCGTGATGGATTTAATTGGAATCTTGAAGAGATTGTTGATATAAGTTAGTTTATGTTATTGATTTGTAATTTGGTTTAATTGGTTATATTTTCTGAATTTGTGATTGATATTGCTTACATAATTTTTGGGTAATTTGCCAATTTGTAATAGGTTATGAACACAAATTGATAGTAGTACTTTTCTCTTCACTTTTCTTTCCTATAATAATTTTAATCAAAATTTTCATCAAAATTTCGATCATAATTTTCATCAAAATTTTATTCTCCTCTATTTTTCTTCTTTCGTTCTTCATTTTCTCTCTCCTCTGTTATCTTTATTTTTCTCTTTTGTTTCACTTTTTCAATTGATTTTGTTGCTTACTATGGAATTAGTTGTTATTCCTTAAGAGATCGACAATGCAGGTTAGTGTTTTGTTTTGTTGATTGTAATTAGGTTTTTTAAGGTTATATTTAAGAAAAAATTGTCAAAAAAAACTTTTAAATGCCTCATTTTGCAAGAAAAAACCTTTTAAATAATTCTTTGTTTAAAAAAACCACCACGATCACTTTTTTTGTTTAATGAAACCTGGCTCTCTTTTCCGGCATTGACTCTCAATTTCAAGCGTTGATCCATGAGTTTTCCTACTTGCAGCCTACAGATGGATAATTGCACTCCCCCTTTTATTTTTCCCTCTTATTTTCCCTCTCCTCCCTGCCAGCCACCCCCTCCTCCCTTCAGCCACCCTAAAACCCACCATGAAACCCTAGGCCATGGCAGCTCTACCCTTTTTCTTCGCCCAACACCGCGGCTCCGCCGCTACCATCATCGCCCTAATCTCCTGTTCCCTCCGACCACCCGCAGACCCATGCTGCTGTTCACGACTACCCACGAAACTCCCTTATCTCTCCCTCTCGTGCCACTTTCTCTCCTCCGCGCTGACCAACTACCACTAGCACCACCCACCTGAACCGCCACCGTTCCCTGCCGCTACTGCTCCCCTTCCTCCTTCCTCCTCCAACCCCCAAAACCACCCTGATTTGAACACTTGTTCTAAATTATGATTCCAAACCTCCCTGATTTGAACCGTTTCTTCGCTAATCTCCATAATCGACGACATGGGTATTCAATCATAGTGCATAATAGCAGCAGATTTGCAAAATCAAGGAACAGAAAATCAACAAAAGTAAAAAAAATCAAAGAAAAACCCAGGAAAGTGGTAAAATGAAGCAAGAGATCTGACCTAGGGGAGTTTTGCTAGCGGATTTAGGCGAAAAAGAAGATTAGGAGGGAGGTTGGGGTGGTTTCGCGAGCGACGTGGTTGTTTTCGGTGGAGTGGAAGGGGAAAGGGCTTTCCGGCGAGGTGGTAGCGGAATCCTGCTGGGCTAGGGGGATGAGGGGGTGGCTGGCAGGGAGGTGAGGGAAAATAAGAGGGAAAAATAAAAGGGGGAGTGCAATTATCCAACTGTAGGCTGCAAGTAGGGGTCAACGCCTGAAATTGGGAGTCAATGCCGGAAAAGAGAGCTCAGGTTTCATTTAACAAATAAAGTTATTGTGGTGGTTTTTTTAAACAAAGAATCGTTTAAAAGGTTTTTTCTTGCAAAATGAGGCATTTAAAAGGTTTTTTTTTTTATACAAATTTTCCTATATTTAATTGTAATTGTATTTTGTTTAATTTCTATCAATTTGATCTATGTACGAATTTCAATTTTTTTTTTTTTTTGTGGTGATTTTGTAATGAATTTTGATCAATTTGATTAGGTTTGTGAACATGCAATTCATATGAATTGAATTTATGGCCTTTAATTATGAACATAAGAAAATTGAAGAAATAAAAAAAAAAAAAAAATGATTATGAAACATACGCATTATAAGTATTAAAAATATGAACATATGCACTAAAAATATGAATATATACATTTTAGAAAATGAACATACGCATTCAAAATATGAACATATGCATTGGTTCATTTTTTGAATGCATATGAACATAATTAAGCATTTTAGAAGGTGAACATATACATAAAAAAATATGAACATATGGATTTCAAAAAGTGAACATATGCATTTCATAAAGTTTACAACAACATTTCAAAAAGTTTACAAAAGGATTCAAAATATAAACATAAGCATTTAAGAACGAAAGTGAACATATGCATAAAAAATATGAACATATACATTTCAAAAAGTGAACAAAAGTATTCAAAATATGAACATAAGCATAAACGGATAAAACAAACAAAATGAGAACATTTTATGAACATTAAGAATATTTATCATATGAACAACAAATATTAATATTGTGAACAATTCAAAACATTTTATGAACATAAGGTATCAGTTTGATTTCACTAAATTTTTTAACAATTCCAATAAAAATTTCGAACAATAGAGTATCGAACAATATTCAAACAAAATTAAGTGATATTCATATAAATTCAAACAAAATTAAGTGATATTCATATAAATTCAAACAAAATTAAGTGAAATTTACATAAAATTACCTTTTTTGGGGAGAATCCGTTTGATTTTCATCTTATCTCAAATATCCATAGTTGTTTTGAAGAGAGAGTGAATTGTGTTTGATTGTAAGAAAGAGAAAATCAAAGAGAGGAGTAGTAAATTTCAGAAATTTAAGTGTAAAAGTGACAATGTTTTTTTTTTTAATTAGATTTTAAAAAAAATAACTGCTAAAAGTGACAATTTTGTATAAATAACAATTGGATGGGCTACAGCTTAAAGATATGTTCAGTTTTTTGGGTGGCTTGTTTTGATTTGGAGCCTTTTTTTTAATGGGACGCGTTTAAAATTAGGCTTTTTGTCTAGTTTTGCAGCTAAAATAGCTGCACAAGGGTGCAGCATAGACCAATTGAAAACCCCATATATATTCGAGAGTTCTCCTTCATCCCTCAATCCCCCAGTCTATCCAAAGGCAAGGGCGATTACCTAGAGCAGAAAAGGAGAGAAAGAGAGAGAAATGGAGAAATACTTCGGAAATGCATACAGAGGAGACCCAGGAATTCCACACACAGACCCAGATCGTTTCTTGAACATCTGGATTGGTTCCGCTGCTTTCTCTGCTCTTGCCTGGTTCAATACCTACATGTGGCAACTCACCAATCAATGGAAGTTCTGTTTCTAATCCCTTTCTCTTTTCTTTTTTTTTTTCTTTCTTTTATTGCTCGTAATTTTACTTTGATTTTGCCCTTTTTCTGGTTTAATTATTTCCTTTTTTTTTTAATTGGGCGTTGTTGGTTTTTCTTTGTATTTGGATTTTGGAAGTAATAATGAATGAAATTGTGGGTTGTGTGATTTGCATGATGAATTTAATTTCTTTTGAATGTATTGTGAAGGACTTGAAAATCATTTGACACCGTTATTTTAAGGCTTGTTTAAATTATGTTATACTTCGTATGTAATTCATCTTGTTTGTACCATCTATCTTACAATTGGGGAATGAATTATGTATGCTTCACATGAGACTTTTACGGCCCGTTTGGTAGGGATTAATAAAGGACTGTAATGAGAGTGATTTTAGATGTAATATGAGATTGGAACTATGAAATTTCATGGAATTTGTTAATTATTCAAAGTTCAGTGTTCTCTCCTTAGTTGGCTATATAATGCCTTTTAAGATTCTTTGTGTAGTGCTTTAACCAATGAATCTTCCTCCACTTTTGACTATTGATGCTAATATATTCACCAATTTTTACCCAAAATCGTTTTCAATTTAGTTTCTACTATGATTATCGTTTAGGCTTCGTTTGATAGATAAAAATTTCAGGGAAAGTTAATTTATTATTAAGAAAACAATCTTCAATGGAAAACATGATTATAGAAAAATTATGGAGAAAAATAAAAATGGAGGTGAAAGGGAGGGGAAGGATGGAGGAGAGAAAATAGAGAAGTGAGGAGTAAAGAAAAAGATGCAGCATACCTTATTTCAATTCTTTCAATTTCAATTCTTTAATTTATAATTTTTTTCGCTTCAAACCTGCATTTCTGTTAATTGTGCATTGAGTTATATGACTAGTATTTCAACTACCCAAAAGAGAACAGTGAAATAAGATAAAGCTCTGTTGGTGGTGAATGGTGATTACTGGCGTTACTGTGTAGGAGCAATAGGCAAGAGTGTAGTTTTCATTTGTGATATGTACAAATAGATTATAGGCTTATATTCCCTATTTAGGGATATGAAAATTATTTATTCCCAATTCAATATGTTTTGGATGGTCATTGAGACTCCATTTCTTTAAATCTTGAAAGACATAAATTACTTTGTCCAACTGCACTATAGGAGAAACCCGCTGTTCAAATCCCTCTCTGCATTTAAACATGGTGCCTGGATTTGACCATCTTGAATTGTAGGGATATGATTGCTTATGTTTAAAATTATTTCATCGAACTATGCCACAATAGCATTCTTACTGATGGTGATTGTTTTGACGTACTTTCATTATAGCTATATATTCTATGACAATGTAGAGAAAAATAGCTTTTGGTGAGTGGTTATTGATGCAAAAAAAGACACCAGCTTCATAATTCTGATTGGGAATGCTGCAGTTTTCTAATTGCTCTCTTTGTTGTTATTGTGGAGTTCGTTAGTACAATGGGAAATATTAGTTTACTAAAAATGGAGAAGAATTAGGTGGATATTCTCTTTTTCTTGGTGGTTGGAAGCTATAGGATTCTTTATCTGCTTATGATAGAAGGCTGGTTTAGCTTGATTTTGCCCAAATATTTGTTGAAAGATTACGCCTGAGCATGTTTGAACTTGTATTTATCCCAGATACCTATATAGTGATACTCATATATAATTGTTTGGGGTAATTAACTCCTTTGCATTCTGTGAGGTAGCTGATCTCCTGAAGCTGCTGAAACTCCAAGTCTTTCAAGTTCCTTAGAAGAAAACCTCCTGTTCTTGTCTATAGTCCCTACTGTAGGGCTAGGTTGTGAATCTGAAACTGTTTTGAATTTTTAATGGTGTGAATTTCTATGATAAAGGCTTATAATTTTATTTTTGGGTCACGGAAATGCTTCTTTTGGCTGCCTGAAATGCTAATTGCTGTTGCATATTCTTATCTTTTATGCAGCCTGACTTTTTACTAAATTGTAATTTTTTTCCCTTATGTTCTTATTAGTATAGATGTTGCATTCATCTTTTTTCTTTTGTACTAGTATATAAATATTTGGTACTTCATAATTTTCAAGTGTATTTGGGTCAATGTTCTCATGCTGTAACTTTCAATTTGTAGTTGGCATGATAAAGCTATGCTGTATGAGCAGCACCACTGGAAGAAGGCCATGGCTAAGAAGCAACCTTATAAATTCAAGGTACATTACTTGTTGCTTGAGTTTATATGCTAGGCTAGAGATGGTGGTATACGATTATGGATAGTCTTTGTTCAAAGCCTTATTTTTCTCGTGTTGCAGTGGAATGAATACATGGACAAAGATGCTCGAGACTCTTACTACTTCAACTGGCCTGTATATTTTCCCTAGAATATTGTGTGATCCTACTGCTACGTCATGTTATTTGGTCATTTGGACTTATTGTGTGATCCTACTGCTTTGTCGTGTTATTTGCTAAACTTTCTGGAGCATCTCTTTGATTTCTTTTAGCCTTTTAGGGCTTGAGGGGGGAAAGTATCTGCAGTACAAAACTATTATTTCTGTTTTATCTATATAATCTGGATAAATTTTTGCCTACTTTATCGGAAGTAAGACCCTGGATTTTTTCTGTATTGCCTATCTTAGATCCTGATATTTTGTCAGCCTGTGTATTAAGTACTACTTTGCATCAAGGAAAAGTTAGCAGGCTGAATAATGAATTTTATGTATGAACATTCATGAAGGCGAACTTTAGATAATATTTAATAATTCGAACTTTAAGGGTATTTGCTTTCTTTAGGCTTCACTTGTTGATAACCGGTTTAATAGGTAAACTTGCCACATGTCATACTATAATTGGTTAGTTTTTTTTCCTCTTTATTTATTTATTATTTTTATTTTCTCTCTCCTTCTCCTTTAACCTTTTTCTCTCTTCCCTTCCATTGTAGCTCCTTACCCATCTCCAATTCTCCACCCCCTCCCCCCACCCCCGAGCTAACCTCCCTTTCGTAACCATCCCCCCCACCCCCCCCCCCCCGAAACTAACCCCCCTTCTCGTAACCACCTCCTCCCTGAAATCACCCTACTTACTTCCCTAGTGTAATTCTTTATCTTATCCGATTTAAATCAAATTTCGACATAATCTTCTGTCCCTTTTGATTTAAATCAAATTCTGGCATAATTATCTCTCCTATCCCTTATTCGAAGAGTTAGGGTAAAGGGGGATGGGGGTATTTGTCGTTGATCAGGGAAGGGGAGGGGGGGGGTAAGGGAGGTGGCGAGGGTTGTTGATTGGAGTCAAAGGAAAAAAAAAAGCCTTATTTAACAAGCTATCGGTTACCTAGGCTCAAAGAAAGTGAATACTAAAGTTCGGAATATTTAATAATAATCAAAATTGAGATTATTAAATATAATTTAGTCAAAGCTGTAATTCTTTCAAAACTGAGATTATTAAATGTTATTCGATCAAAGCTGGAAATTCTTAAAAAGCGATTTAGTATTTTGTTTGAATCTACTTTGGGGGTTTATTCTCCTGATAATCTCAAGCAAGACTATTTGATCTTTTATGATATTGATAGGTGAAGTTTAAATCTTCTTTGTAATTCAGATGTCTTAATATGAAATTACATTGAAAAGATATTCAAAATTATGGATTATGTTTCTTGAACTTGCAAGTTTTTATTTTACTTAAAATTTGAAACACTATATCTTGGGACTTCACATAAATATATCTCAAATCCTTTAAAAAAGAAAACCACGATTTTGATTATTGGTTTGGTCCAACTCAGAAATTCAATCTGAGCTAGTGACCTTGATTTTCTTCAAAGATTTATTGACATTTCATATATTCAAATTATATGGATTAATATTAAATTTGGATATGCTTCTTTCAACGTTAACTTGTATATTACTTCGTGTAAATTGAATATATAAAACTAGGTTAAATCTCATACAACGCATGTTTGTTACTAAGTTTATAACAAATTAGTTTAATACCTGTGTCATGCACGATAACAATTGAATAATTATTATTATTATTAAACTTTAATCATGGTTGGATTAGTTATTATATAAGACCTTTTTTATGGGTAATGTGAATTGAAAAGTTTTTTTTTTTTTTTTATTTTTATTTTTTATTTTTTATTTTTTTTAATACAAAGAATTGGTAGTTAAATTAAATTAGTACATGTCTAACCATTCTTACAATTATATACATACTATATATACACTAATGAATCTAAAGATATCGTCTCAAGATTGATCTTTTATATTGAATTATTTTTTATACCATTAGTTAAATTTTTAGATTTATAAGGTCGTGGTGGGTACATAAATTTTATTTTCAGGTCTAAAATAATTTAGACAATAACATGTTGTAAATAAGCTTTTTTTTTAAACAATGTTGTAAATAAGCTAAATGAACAATAATTTGCACGGACTTACCATTGCTTTAGGATTTTAATTGTTAATTGCTTTAGGATAGCTCAAGTGATTAGAGCTGTTCTCCCAATTTTAGGAGATTTTGGGATCGATTCTTATGCCCTTGTGGCTTTTTAAACACCAAAAGTACAACATATTTAATCATATAATGGAGTATATACTTTATCTTATAATATTTTTTATTATCATTGATGAGAAAGAGGGGCAAAAAAAGGGTATGATAACACATCACATAAAAAAATTAAACAATAACATCCCATCAATATAGATAAGGTAATGAGTGATAATTCCCCTCAATATATACTACAAAAAAAAAAAAAAAAAAAAAAAAAAAAGAAAAAAAAAAAAAAAAAAAAAAAAGAAAAGGTAATTAAGAGATAGTTTTGATCAACGATGATAATTTAGCCAACGTCCCTTCATTAGTCATTATTCTACTCACTTTCTCTGTCATTCTATCTATCTAAGGTTCAATTCTAGTAGGCTTCCATTTGTTATGTGTTTGCAAAGCAACTCAAATAATGTAGAGGCAAATATATAATAATTGTTCAAATTTAGAAATTTGGTAATAATAATAATTGTTCAAATATATAATAAAAATTGTCTTTGTTGAAGTTTGAAAGGTAATTTTGTGTCTGATGGAGTTAACAACAGACGAGGAATAAATACTTTGTGACTGATAATTATATTATATGTTTTTTATATCGCATAAATATCTTATTTAAATATAGAAATAAATTAAAATTTCTTACAAGTCAAGTAGAATAAGGGAAAATACAAGTGTATCTTCTTGATAGATAAAATATGTTTATCAAATGATAAAAATGTAAATAAATTAACAACTTTTGGTCATATATGGGTCTCACAATTTTTGATTTATTTACCACAATGCCATGATAACTAGACAAAATGGTAAAAATAGAAATAAACCAACAACTTTTTGATCATATATGAGATTCCATTGTTTGGTATAATAGATAATGGACAAAAGTTTGGTATAATAATATAATATATATTAATATGCGTTCGACCATGCAATTAATATTATATTTATATCCATACATATGAAGTAAGTTTTTCATATATCTTAGAAAAAATAAGGTAAGATTTATAACTCTATATATACAAGATATATGAATATGTCAAAAAAATAGCATGTTTTCTGTGTGGCTGCCCACACTGTGTGGCCAACTATCACACATCAAAATAGTAAACAGGTGACTCCTAACTGATCGAGTAACCCCTAATCAAGAAACCCCCAGACCGACCGAGTAACCCCTGACCGAGTAACTCATGACCAATCGAATGATTCCTGAATAAGAAACCTTGGTCACACAGTGGCTAGTCACATATGAAATTTTGTGATCCAACAATAATTTTCAAATTTTTGTATAATAAAAATAGAGCTGGAATTCGGGCCATGCCGCTGTGGGCCATGCCAACTCGGGCCGGATGAAAGGGCGAGTCGTGTCATGTCAGGTCGTCAAAATACACACCCTAGCTCATGTACCGGGCCGCGGGCCAGCCCATTATTTTTTTTAAAAAAAAATCTAATTTATTATTAATTAAATAATTTTATTATTTTATTTTTATTATTTATTCCCGTACAAAAATTATTATTTATAGCTCTTTATTGTTTTTTTGAAACCACCAGCGTTTATAGATCTTTATATATTATGCTTCTTTTTTATTATTTTTATTATTATTATTAATTTATTATAGTTCTTTTTATTATTCTTATTTTTTATTATTATAGTGCTTTATTATTATTATTATTTATGTTATTATTATACTTCTTTATTATTATTATTATTATTATTTAGCAAATAGAAACCATTCATATATTTTAAAAAATTACGAGTACTACTTACGAGGATCTAAGTATAGTATAATAATTAAAAATAAGGAATACATACTACATATTATTGCAGACACAAATTTTGATCCTACTACTGTAGTTATTTATTATTATTATTATTATTATTATTTTATTTTTGTAATAATTATTATTATTTTGCTATCGCTTTTTTTTAATTGTGTGGTAATAACACAAGTATATGCTAAAATATTTTTATAAACTTAATGACAGTATTTCAGCTATTTAAGACGAAAAAACACGAGTAATAACATAATTTTTATTCATAATTTCCGAAATGCGTGTTACAATTTGTACTTCTAAACTACTAAATTACAAAAAATCGAAGTACAGTTAACACCACATGCATTTTTTCCCTGCTCCACTGAAGTAATTTCGAGCTTCACTTGTCCATTAGTAAGTAAATTAATGCGGCCATCAAGAGGACCACTAACCCCACAATATACATGAAGTACACCCTTAATTATCATCCTCAAGTCTTCTTCGGAGGTGAAGATACGTTGAACTTCTTGGTTATTTTGGAACATGGTGGCCGAATTAATGGTGATTTTTCTTGATTTTTTCGGGTAAGAAGAAAAGTAGAAGGAGATAAGAAATAAGTGGTGAGTGCAGATTTGGATAAGGGTAATCTTCTTTTTATAATAAAAGTATGTACATTATACCGTATTATTATATGTATACGTATGATAATCATATAGTATAAAAGTACAACATTTTGTCTCGCCAGGAAAATGTGTCATTTTTTTTATGGAGCTATAAACAAGCATTGTTTGACCCTTCAAAATATGATGAGTGTATTAGTATTTTCATTAAGAGTGTCAGAGTTTTTTTTTTTAACTAGTAATTTTTACGACTTGTGCTCAATAATTGAATTTGGTCAATTTATTACCTATAAAATCAACTGTGCCAAAAGACTGACACCCAACAAAAAGTAAGTAGGGAAATGACAAACAATCCTTTTCTTGCAATAAAGATTGTCACCCAAAAAAGTACTACACATTATAGTACTAAAAGAACCTCCTTTGATATACATTTTTTTTCTACCACTATGAGCCGCAAAGTAAAATAATACTACTTTTTATTTATCCACATTTAATATTGGATCAGATAAATTTTAATTCGGATCAATTATATCAATGATCATCTGACGATAATTGAAACAACTGGATGATATATTGACCGCACTACGCAACTCACGTATCACCACTCATAAATCTTGCACTATTATTCACACTGCTATTCACACTACTATTCACGTTACTATGCGTTAATATTCCCATTACTAATGCGCTACTATTCAAGCCACTATGCACCATTATTTGCAT